ACGTTGCAGCGATGCCGACCCTTCATACTGCAGGTTACGATGCGCTCGCACGTGCGCGTGTGCACCCTCTATATGCAGGTACAGCGCGCAGCGACGTGCAGCCGTCCCCTGTGACCCATTATATCAGGTACCGATGCGCGTTGGCAACGTGCAGCGTGTGACCCTTATATGCAGGTTACTCTCGCGCGTGAGCGCGTGCCAGCGTGGGACCCTTATATGGCATTACATGCGCGTGGCACGTTGCCAAGCCATGTGACCCTTTGGGGGGTTATATGCAGGTTCATATGTGCTCAGCACGTAGCAGCCCGTGTGACCCTTATATGCAGAGTTATATGCGCGCTGGCACTGATGCACCGTGGATCCCTTATATGCAGGTTACTCGATGCGCGTGCCGCCGTGCAGCGTGTACCCTTATATGCCAGCTACATCGCGCGTGGCTACGTGCAGGCGTATGACCCTTATATGCAGGTTACGCCATAGCGCATGCGCCGTGCCGCGCGTCGTGACCCTTATATGCAGGTTACATGCGCGAGCACGCTGCCAGCCTGTGGACCCTTAATGCAGGCTTACATGCGCATTGGCACGTGCCATCGTGTGACCTATATGCAGGTTACAATGGCATGGCGCGGTCGCGTGTGACCCTTATTATGCAGGTTACATAGCGCGTGGCACGTGCAGCGTCTGACCCTTATATGCAGGTTATATGCGCATGGCACACTGCAGGTCCGACCCTTATATGCACGCGCCTTTATATCGCGCCGTGGCACGTAGCGTGCGTGACCCTTAGTATGCAGGCTTACATCTGCGCTGCACGTGCAGCGTGCTGACCCTTATATGCAGGTACAATGCGCCGCAGCACGTGCAGCGTCGAACCCTTATATGCCAGGTTATATGCGCATGCACGTGCAGCGTGCCGACCCTTATATGCCCAGTTATGATGCGGCCACGTGCAGCGTGCGACCCTTATATGCAGGTTACATCGCGCGGTCATACCTAAACCCGCCCTGGCGCGGCAGTGCTGTGACCCTTATATGCAGGCTACATGCGCGCTGCACGTGCACCCGACGCCCCCCCACACCGCCTCGGGCCTCGGGGGGGGGGGGATACTCGGGTGCGGGTGCCGCGTGCGACCCTTAGTGCAGTTACATGCACGTGTGCTCGGTCTGCCAGCGCGGGCTCAGGTTCCCCTGCTCGACGTTATATGCCAGTTACATGCGCGTGGCAACGTGCAGCGTGTGACCCTTATATGCAGTTATATGTGCATGGCACGTGCAGCGTATGACCCTGTATATGCAGGTTACATGCACGCTTGCGCACGTGCCAGTGTGTGACCCTTATATGCCATTATCATCGCGCGTGGCCCGCCGCTGCAGCGTTAGCTGACCCTTATATGCCAGGTTACATACCGCATGCACCGTGCAGCGACAGGGCTTCTTGTGACCCTTATATGCATGTTATATGCGGCATGCCGGGTGCAGCGCCGTGTGACCTTATATGCAGTTACATACGCATGGCACATGCAGCGTAAACTTAGGCTGCACCCTTATATGCCCAGTTATATAGTACCGCGTGGCGCGGTGCAGCGTCGTGACCTTATATGCAGGTTACATCCGCAGCACTGCAGCGTGTGGACCCTTATATTGCAGCCGTTACTACGCGTGGCACGTTGCAGCGCTGTGACCCTTAACAGGTATACATCGGCGCAGCACGTGCAGCGTGTGGACCCTTATATGCAGGTTACGATCGCGCGTGCACGTGCAGCACGTTCTGCTGGCTGCTGACCCTTATATGCAGTTATATTGTGCATGGCGCCTGTCACCAGCTCGCGACCCTTATATCGCAAGTTACATGCCGCGTGGCGCGTGCAGCGTCGTGAGCCCTTAATCGCACGGGTACATGGCATGGCGCGTGCATGCGTCGCGATTCGCCCTATGCCCAGGCTATACATGCGCGGTGCTGCGTCCCATCCCGCCCCACTCCGTGCCAGCGTTGTGACCCTTATGATGCAGGTGACATGCGCGCAGCACGTGGCCAGCTGTGGGACCCTATAGCAGTTTACATGCGCGCTGGCATCGGTTGCAAGCGTTGTGACCCTTATATGCAGGTCTAATCATGGTGCGTCGGCACGCCTCCGGCCTAGCGTGCTGACCCTTTATATGCACGTCGCTCTACCACTGGCGCTGGCACGTCGCAGCGTGTGGACCCCCTTATATGCAGAGCGTTACATGCGCCGGTGGCTCACGTTTGCAGCCCGTGTGACCCGTCTATCATGCCCACGTTATATGTGCGTAGGCACGTTGCAGCGTCCCGGCACCGCCCTGACCGCCCTCCCTCGTGACGCCTTATATGCCGCATGTATATGTGCAGCTTGCGGCGGTGCAGCGTCGCCGACCCTTATATGCAGTTATAGTGCGCGTGGCCACGTGCAGCGTTGACCCTTATTATGCTGGTACTATGCGCGTGCACGTGCGCCACGTCTGTGATCCCTTATATGCAGGTTATATCGACTGCGTGGCCACCTCGCAGCGGTCGCACCCTTATATGCAGGTTACTATGCTGCATGGTCCCGCGCGTGCAGCCGTGCGACCCTTTATATGCAGCGTTACATGCGCGCAGCACGCTGCATGCGTGCTGACCTTCTCATATGCCCCCAGGTTATATGTGCCATGGCCGCGGCAGCTGTCGTGCGACCCTATATGCAGGTACATCGCGCGCGCCGCGCGCCGTGCAGCGTGCTGACCTCTACTAGTGCAGAGGCTTACATGCGCGTGGCACGGCTGCAGCGTGTGCACCTTATAGGCAGTTACATGGGCGCGCAGCACGTGCAGCGGTGACCCTTAATGCAGGTTATATGTGCGTGGCACGGTGCAGCGTTGTACCCTTTATCCTTATGCGGTTATATGCGCGCGATGCCGCGCGCTGCACGTGGACCCATTATATGCAGGTTTAACCTATTGCGCGTGGCACGTTGCAGCGGTGACCTTATATGCGGCGTTATATGCGCGCTGCCACGTGCGAAGCGATGGCGACCCTATATCAGTAAGCATTGCCAGTACCTTGCAGTCGTCCGCCAGCTGCTCGATGCTCGTCGATGTCGACGCGTCAGTATTTGCCTCGCGGTGTTTTCAGACTTGGTCCAGACCGTGCATGAGGCTCTCTCGCGCATGACGTCTACGTCCCTGGCTGTCGAGAGCCTATCCCGTAGCGCCGTACAAGTTGGCCACAGTCAACCATCGCGTACTGTGTGCGAACTGTACGACGCAACACACCAGGGGGGGTACCAGCGGTCGTTTACCAGATTGTTGTTGTCATGTAATTTATGTAATGTACGGTAACACACACAACATCAACAATAACAACACCAAATCTATAACAACAAACAACAGCAATATCGAACAACAACAACAAACAACCAACAACAACAGACAATCAACAATAAACAATCATAATGAATAATAAAATATCGGAACTCTCATGCTTTCAACCGACAATCCGCTCAACAGTTCCAATGCTTTCATGCTCACACAGACAGCTTATCACGCGCATGCCAACGCTCCCTCCTTCTACATTTCATTCCATAGGAACCAGGTTGTTCCTACAGTTGCGTTTTATTCACGTAAAGTTAAACGACCACCACGCTCCATCGCTCCTATTCTCGAAACGCCAGTGGCTAGACAGCTACTACTGTCACGCCAGCAGCAGTCGGACGCTTGGCCGTATCTCGAAATGCCATGCGCCTACAGTGCACACGTCATCAGCGTCTGTCACGCAGAAGCAGTTTATTAAAACTAGAAAGGCAGGCATGTCGCCAACTACATGTATCTACACCCGTGTCTTCTCCCCAAGATTGTAAGTATACAAAGTTGGTCGTCGCGTAGGTTATATTAGGCCGAGTATAGAGCGGAGAGAAATATGATGAAGGTCAAGGTCAAGGTCAATGTCCAAATAAGGTTACAGCGACCGTTTCGGCTACGCGACACACCTTTCTCACAAGATGTGCGAAGTATACCAAGATTTGCGTCACGCCTAGGCCAATTAGGGCCGCAGATTATAGATGAGAAAGGAAATATGCATCAACGTCAAGCGTAAAGGTCAAAATAAAGGTCGTAGTGACCATGCCGTTTTAGGCTACCCGACACACTCTCCAAGAGTGAAGTTACCAAGTTGCGTAGCGCGATAGTGTCAATTGGGGAGGTTCATATAGAGGCCAGAGGAATATGATCAAGGTCAAATAAAGTCGTAATGACCTGGTGTGCGTAGCCTAGGTCAATTAGGGCCGAGTTAAAGAGTGGAAGCGAAATATAATCAACGTTTCAAAGTAAGATCGCAGTGAGCCTGGTTTTGCTACGCTGCTCACCTTCTCCCCAAGATGCTGTAAGTATACCAATTTGTGCGCTAGGTCCAATTAGCGGCGAGTTAGAGAGCGGAAGGGAAATAGTATCAAGGTCTAAGCGTAAGTCAAATGAAGCGTCGCAGTGACCTCGGTTTTGGTACTCTGCACACCCTTCTCCCCAAGATGTGTAAGCTATACCAAGTTGGTGTCACGCTTAGGCATACTTAGGGGTCGCAGTTATAGACGCGGAAGGGAATTCTCTGCGGCGGACCGAGCGGCGGCGGCGGCTCGGAAGACATCAAACCATACGTTATCCCCTCGACTTCGTCCGGGATACAATAATATCGCGCTGACACATTACTACAGTATTATTAATTGCCTTTATATTCGGGGAGCCTTCAAATTGCGCACCCGAAGCTCTACACACTGTCAGACACAAGGGCAGAGAATATTCGCGTATACGCGCACACATATACTTCACGCATCCAATCATTGACAACACGTATGCGCATACCACACTGTTGACGCTAAACTGTGTAAGTCACAAGTCGTTACGCGCTGCGTGACAGACAGACGGTAGCAGTGTGGCATATTACACTAACCTTCGCAGCCTGGTCGACGTGCGTCTGGCGAATCGCGTCCGTAGTCGCTGATACGGTGCCATTGCTTGCCTATAGTTGGCGACGTCCAGACACTGCTCGGCGACGTCGACGTCGTTCTGTAGCGCCGACAGCTGCTCTAGCAGTCGCTCGCTCCTCGTTATCCGCCTGCACGATGGTCTGCACCTGCACGGGGCAGCGAGAAAATCACGAGCTATTTATTTATTTTATTTATTAATTAACTTAAAGACGGTATATTCGTAAAAGATATATAAACTTGCAAGCTCCTCACCATCAGTAACACCGTCAGAGCTGGCGTCATGCGCATATAAATATTGTCACAGTAATATGTTCATTTATCGGCAGCAAGGAAATCACGAGCTGTTTATTTATTTTATTTTATTTATTTATAGTTTTTTTTTAATTTAAATACGGTACATTGGTAAAAGATATGGAATCAAGATGAGCTTGCAAGCTCCTCATTGTTTGTAAAACCGTCAGTAACACCATCAGAGCTGGTTTCACGCGTATAAATAGTCACAGTATTATGTTCATGTATCGGCAGCGTGAGAATCGCTAGCTGGTTTATTTATTTAATTCAATTAATTAATTTAATTATTTAAAGACGGTACATTGGTTAAAAGATATATCAACATGAGCTTGCAAGCTCCTCATCGTTAGTAAAACCGGCCAGTACACCGTCAGTAACACCGTCAGAGCTGGCTTCACGCGTATAAAAATAGCCACATTAATATGTTCATGTGTCGGCATCGAGGAAATCACGAGCTTTTGTTGCAAAATGGTAAAACGTGTTTAAGTTATGTGCGTATAACATAATATGTAATAATATATAAATGATCTAAGTAGTTTAAATGTGTGGTTATATAATCAGTTCGCTGTGTGTATTCATTTATATACAAAACCTCGTATACAAACATAACATCAAATAAACTCATAAACTCGACCTCATATAAACTTATATGTAATCCACAACGAGCTATTCTACGCACCATTATTCCAAGTACTACCTTACATTGGTGGTAGATTCATTTCAGTACACGCGCTACATACTAGCATGATAATGCGGATGCAGGGTTCTTACCTCGTCGATCATTTGCTCGATGGTGGTTTTCGTGCCCTGTGAGTCGCGATTCAGCGAGCGGACCATCCTACTAGCAAACTTCACTGTACTGATGTGTTCACTGATGATGGTCACCTGTTGTAAGGTCAGCTGAGCTTCCTCTCTACACACACAAACAAACAACGCATTACTCACATACACGCGCATACACGCACGCACGCACACGCACGCACGTATGCACACACGCACACAGAGACGCGCACACACGCACACACGCACGCACATACACACAGACAGCCAGACACACACACACACATACATACATATATACATACATACATACATACATACATACATACATACATACATACATACATACATACATACATACATACATACATACATACATACATACATACATA